TAGCCCACGAGGTAGGGAGGGCAGGTGGAATCTTCAGGGTTCATTGCCGGATTTGAATTGAGGGGTGGAGTGAGGAAGGATGAGAAGAAGAGGAGGAGATTCTTGAAATTAATTGAACCATTTATAATAGCAATTATTGAAATACTTTCCTAGCCTCTCATTTATGAGGGAAAGAGAGGTGGACATGTGTTTTTTAAAAAGTTCTTGATTTGAATCGAATCTCTTTGAGCCTGTTTTCTTTAGCTGATAATTGTTGTTTTAAAGGGAAAAATAATACCCAACCTCATAGAATTGTGGTAAGAATTACACAAGAGCATCAAAGTGCCTAGGACAGTTGTTGGAATTTTCTTCTGTTCATTTATCTGTTTATTTGTAGGCTCTTTGGAAGATAATTACTGTTCTTCTCTTATCCTGAGATACCTGTTCAGGAACAGTTTCTCTGACTCTCCCCACCTAATCCCACAAGTAATATCTCTGAATTCTGAAAATCTAAGAATGCCTTGTAGCCCTAATGGCTGGCTGACCGTGGCGTCAGTACCATTAACAGCGACAGCAGCAACCTGCAGTCACCATGGTCATCTGACTGACTTTTTGAACATGACTCAAAAGAGCTTGTGTGTGTTTCTCTCACAGGTGGATTTGCCATCGTGTTTCTGGTGAGGACAAGCAATGGGATGAAATGTGCCTTGAAACGCATGTTTGTCAACAATGAGCATGATCTCCAGGTGTGCAAGAGAGAAATCCAGATAATGGTAAGGCTGTCCCCTGGACTTGCGACTATTTCAAATTGAGGCAGAGATTGTGCCCTCTCATAAGAAAGCCATGGGGGGCTTGTTCCCTTCCCTGAGATGGCAGAGAGACCTCTGGGCAAGATGGGACTGAGCAGCCATGGGATACAAGACACTGCTCCTGTCTGGTCACCTTCAGTGGGAGGGTGGAGGAGAAAGGAGTATATTGAGAGAACTGACCAGTCTCTAGGGTGGAGAAATAGTTTTGAGAATTGGGAAAAGCTTTCTTAACTTGGTTCCCCAAAATTAACTGTGGCATTTAATCTGGAAAGCCTAGTTTATAATGAGCTTCCTCTTCTGGTCTTGTCTCTGTCAGTTACCAATCCCCAGTCCCAGTTTTTAACCCTCCTGAGCTCTTTAATAATTCTGTGAACGTATCCTTACCCGACTTTATATTTTTACATGTAGTTCTTTCCACCTGGAATGCTTTCCCCCTTTTTTGGCCCAGAAACCTAGGCCAAAATCTAGAAAACTCATAAATACTCTGTGATTCCATTTGTACAAGTCCAAGAACAGGCAAAATTGATCCTTGGGGATAGAAATCAGAAAGTGGTTATCCGGGTGTGGGAAACTGACTAGAAGGGGTAATAGGGGAACTTTCTAAGCCATGGAAATGTTCTATGTGCTGTTTTGGGTAGTGGTTGCACAGGGGTGTACAATTGTCAAAACTCAATTGAACACCTTAAGATCTGTGCATTTTCTTATATGTTAATTGTACCTTAATTTTCAAAAACTTACTCATTTTTCAAGATTCACATTTATATTATGTTTCTAAAGAAAGAGTCCCTATGTGTTAGGTATACCTGTCGAAATAATGTATTCAGGAGATAATATGATGTCTTGAGAACAGTAAGTGGGTTTAGAAGGGAAACAAGATTGGCCAACAGTTGGTGATGATCAAAGCAGCCAAGTGTATGGGAGTTTG